CCCCCCTCACCTAGCTCCTCCTCCCCCACCCCCTACTTACCAGCATGGAGTCTGGGTCCAGTTCCCTGCAGCAGTGAGTGGGGACTGCCCGAATCACCAAAGCTCTCCGAATCTTTTTCAAATCAATTCAGAGAGATTTGAATTGATTCAGACCTTTTAATTAGTCCCCTGATTCAATTCGGATTCGAAAATTTGGCCATCGGATCGGGCTGAATCTCCTCCAAGTTGAATCAGCACCCAAAGCTTTGCACAGCCCTAGTGAGCAGTTGTTCACCGAGCTCTTGATGCGCTCCCCTGATGTAGCAATAAGCTGCTACCAAGTCCCCTCTCAGCCTTCTCTTCTTTAGGCTGAAGAGGCCCAAGTCCCTCAGCTTATCCTCGTTTGGCTGGCCTTGCAAGTCTCTGATCATACAGGTGGCTCTTCTCTGGACCCTCTCAAGTTTTTCCACATGCTTGTTGAAGTGCAGTGCCCGGAACTGAATGCAGTATTCCAGCTGCGGTCTCACTAGTGCTGAGTACAGTGGAAGAAGCGCTTCCTTGATTTTACATAAGATGCATTGGTTGATACATGCCAGAGTGTTGATAGACATTTTCAGTATCTAATACACTAATATTTTAATGTGTTTAATAGTAGCTCAGTATTAATTACCTATCTAAATGGTTGTCTGATTCCTCCCTAGTTTGAGATGCTTTGTGCAGCTGCAATGGTGAAAGGCAGTTGTGGCACATCATGCCCTAAGGCAGCAATGGCCAACCTGCAACACGTGCTACAAGCAGCAAAGTGAGCCTCTGTGCATGGCATGCAGCAGATTGGGTGGGAGCAGAGAGCAGAGCAGCAGACTAGGTAGGAGAAGGAGACTGGAGTAGCAGTCAGGGTAGGCATAGGGCTTAATTTGTAGGATGTCTGCTAAAATGGTTGGACCCCACAGCCCTTAAGGACTTCCAGTGCAAGCAAAACACACACAAACTTGCATGCAGCTGTGTCTTAAAGAAAAGTGTTCTGGTGAGTGGATTGTACCACTGAAGTGACCTGTATCCCAGCTATCCTAATAATACTTTAATGTGTAGTGCTGTTAAAGTGCTCCTTGCATGGTAATGGCTTATGCCTCATCAGTTTTGTTGCTACATCATTTTAGAAATAATGAAGGTAAGTAAATACTTAACACTGCAAGAGGACATAATTTACTTACAGATCTCACTATGAATCTGTGGCAGTCAGGATTAGAATGCAGTTCTCCTGACTCATGTTCTCAGCAGGAGCATTGGCACAATCCAGTCAAAATCCCCAACCATGGCCACAGCTAACTCCCAGTGGCTCTGAGGAAGTGAAATCCTGAGGTCCGTAGCTCAAAAAAATCCTTTCCAGCCCTTATGACTACCAGCAAAGCCCAGAAGCATGCAAAATACCTATGGTATAGCACAGACTGAGCTACTCTTAAATCATCCCTGACCAATGCTTATCCAAACACTTCTTGAATACCTTCAGTGATAGAGAGTCCACAACTTCTCAAATCAGTCTATTCCACTGCCTCACTGTTCTAATAGTAAAAATGTTTTTACTGATACCCAGCCTAAACCCACTTTCCTACAACTTCAAGCCATTGGTCTGTGCCCTGGTCTGCAGCAGGAAAGAAAAGGAGTTCTCCCTCTTCTTTGTGGCAGCCCTTCAGATATTTGAAGTTTGCTATCATGTCCCCTCTTAAGCACCTTTTGTGCAAGCTGAACATGGCTGTCTCTCAGCCTCTCTTTATGGCTTGTTTTTCAAATCTTTTGTCACCTTTTTTTTTGCTTTTCTCTGCTTCTCACGTCTAGCATCTCCATGTCCTTTCTAGAATGTGGACCTGCTTCATCTAGGAGAAGCCTAACCAGTGTCAAGTAAAAAGGCAATGTCACTTCGCCTGTCTCGTATCTAATGCTCCTATTGATGCAACCCAAAACCACATCTGCCTTTTGTGCAGCTGTGTCACAGTAGATGCATGTTGAGACTGACCCACCAAGATTCCTAGATCCCTCATAGTGCTGCTGTCCAGCCAGTGATCACCCACTTTGTGTTTTTGATTATTCTTCCTGAAGAATACCACTTTGCATTTGTTTTCCTGAGGTGTAGCACCTTGCATAAGAACTTAGTTTAAAGCTCTCCTTCCTAGGTTGCTCTTTCAAAGATGCTCTTTACAGAACTGGCCAGATGGATCGTATCACTTGATAGCAGGCCTTCACCTCAGAACATCTGCCTGTTTTTCAAATAATTCAAGCCCTTCACATTTATGCCACCATCTCAGCCACATGTTTACTTCCATGATATGATGGTCCCTGCCTGGGCCCTTAGCTTCCACTTGGAGAATTGTTAAGAACAACAGTTGTGCTCCAAGCTCCTTAATCCTCCTGCCAAGCGCCTCATAGTCACCTCTGATTTGCTCAGTGTAATTTCTGGCAGTATTGTTGGTGCCTGCATAGATGAGAAGGAAAGGGTAATAGTGTGAGGCGTAAATGAGCTCAGGCAATCTTTCTGCGATATCCTGAAAGTGGGCTCAAGGCAGACAGTGCACCTCCCGAAACCCCAAATCCAGATAACAAATTGGTGCCTCTATTACCCACAGAAGGGAGTCTCCAACCACCACTACTCTCCTTTTCCTTTTTGGTGCAGTCATCTTGGAACCACCATCCCTGGGTCCCTGAGTTTCCTGCTGTATTGCTGGGTCCTCTGGGTCCCACTGCTGATGTCCTCACCTCTGCTTTGTTCCCACCTGTTCTACTGCAGGGTGCTTGAAAGCAGTTGCTGACTTAAATCTGCATCTGTTGAATTCTGGGGACCCTTCTAGTAGTGATATGTTGCCACTTCTCTTTTCCCTTTGGTCTCTCTTGTGTGCTTCTTACGACTTCTATCCAAGAAGTCTTCATTTTCCCTGATAGCATGAAGCATATAGATCCCTGAGCTTTCAACCCTTCAATCTTTTCCTCCAAGGTGGACATCAGCTTATACTTGGTACAGATTAAATGATCTTGACCCTCTGGGAGGAACATGAATGTGACATGTCCCATGCAAGTAACAACAGCTAATCCAGTTTCTATTTATGCCTCCTATCTTCCCTGGAGGACACCTAGGCTATAGGAAACAAAGCAAAGTGGGGGAAGAAAAAAAACACGCCCACCCATGTGTGCATGCATGTGTTGCTTGCTGGCTGGCTGGCTGGCTGGCTGTCTATCTCTCTCTCTCTCAGCCTCCTATTCCCTGTCTCCCTCCTGTGACAAATTCTCAGACAGGCTCCCCCTCTGTACTTCTCCTCTGGCTTTATAGACATCAGTGGTATCATTTTTCCACCTTAATGTTACTAGCTTAACAGAGCTCTTTCAGGTCATGTTCACAAGCATACTAGAGGTAGGCAAAGCTAAATGGAAAGGTATCAGAGATATGGCCCACAGAGTCCTGTCATCTGGCCCATGCAGCTAACAGTGGAGGACAATGTTAATTGCTGCTGTTGCCACTTGTCTTTCCACCACATTTTCAACCTGTGCCCAGCTTCATGGACTGAATGACATGCCTCTGCACTCCAGATTAAGCCCACAGACCAGACCTGCACTACTCTGGCCCACAGGCTGAATGGATTCATGCTATATGAGAGAGTGCTTTGAAATCTTCCTTAATCTAACATGGGCTAGAAGCATGAATGGCCTGGTCTGAATCCAAGCTAAATGTGGTAGAACCTAGAATCCGGCAAGCCCTATTCTTGTAGGTGCTGCTATCTTATAGTGCATCTCCTTGAGGGGACAGAGGCACAGCCTTTTTGGTGTCTTGGGCTGGCTCAAGTCACCCAGCTGCCTGTCAGTGAATATAGCCAAATCCTATTTAAGCTTCACATACCTAAATTGCATATAAATTGTATGAGGGGAGGTTACCTTTGGCACTACTGTATAGTTTGGGGTTCTGTTTTGCCCTGTAATAGCATAGGACCACCCTGCAGCTCTGTCTTCATGGCTAAATTCTTTAATCACCAGGCCATGTACTAAGCATTGCCCTGAGAGTCCTCCAGCCCCCACTTTGAAGATAGTCCACTGTGCCGTCCAGTCTCTGGATAATGCGTTAAAGAATAATGGAAAGTTGTTGCCCCATTAGGAACAGGGGCCTAGGCTAAACTATAGGGCCCTATCCTTTCCTGGACAAGAGTCATATTGCTGAAATATGCCTCTCTCCGCAGCTCTCTCCTATCCCGCTGTTTTGGTGCCCTGTGGGCCAGTGTCAAGATTGGCTTCTTAGGCTCGTGAAGGGGAAATAGAAGCAGATCCCTTGTCATTCAGGCTAAGGCAGTTGGATGTGGTGCTGAGCCTCACCATCAGGCATGGTTTAAGCAGCTACAGAAAGATGGCGTCTTTTATTTACATGAGCTCAAGGGGCCCCTTGGCTCAGGTGGACTTTTTAAGGGACTTGATATGCTCCTTAAGCTTACTAGTTTCTGTTGTTCTACAACTGCTAGCTGTTGCATAGAGTTAAACGTGTTTGCACTTCTGCAGAATTATGAGCACAGTCCCCAGCCTGCTTGTCACTGATACTAAGTTGGCACCAAAACCACACCCCTCCAGGTGTTTGGATGAACTTTCAGGCCTCAAATACCCTTAGGTTGCCAGAGGGGCTTTAATGCTGCCAGAAGAGGCAGAAGGCAAGAGGTGGATGCAGCTGCCACTTCTCATTGCCAAATTTCTGACCTTAAGGCAGCTCTGTGGGCTGGATGACATACATGGCTCTGCACTCTGGATCTAGGCCATTGACCAACCCCACACCACACATCTTGCCTCTGGGGCTGAATGAGTTTGGCACCCTGATCTAGCCAGTGAAGATATCGCAGCATAGCCTTCAGTTCAGGTTAGGTCCTGGGCATGTAGTCCAGGGGATAAAAAGACAGCACCTGAAGAGGGGGGGAATAAACTGAACTTGGTTCTCTGAGATGGGATATTTTGGATAAGCTAGACTCGCTAAAGCCCTAAGGTAAGATGAATATTATTTGGACTTTTTGTGATAAAAAACATTTTATTTGTTCAGCTTTGTTTCTGCTGTTGAGAGTAAACTGTTCTCTGTTTTGGAAAAGCTTGTTTAGGTCTTCATATTGAGCATGGGTCCCTGTTCCTGAAGTGAAGCCGCCACAAGATTCAAACCCATTCAGACCTGCTGAGCATTCATAGCTGGTAAGCAAGGCGCATGTTCAGAGATGCAGCTAGCTCTGTAACCCTGTCTGTGTCTTCCAGTGAACCATAGATATGGTCTGGTGCAGTAAGGCAGCAGCCCAAATTGAACCTCGCCCATGCAACAAGTGGCTTTTAGTCTTGATTTAACACAGTAGCCTTTAGGCCTGTGCAAGTCGGCAGCGATCCGAGCTGGCTTCGGATCCGGCCACTTCGGATGACAGTGATCCAATCCGGAGCTCTGGACCAGGTTTCCACCTCGATCCGACTGGAGCAGCTCTGAAGCTTTGGAGCCACCTCGGAGATCCAGCCATAGGTATAATGGGGGAATCAATTAAATATCTATAACTTTGTTGTTTTTTTGTCCGATTCGGATGAAACTTACAGGGATGGTAGCCTCTGCCAAGTTTCAAGGAGATTGGTGCAGAGGCTTGGGGGGAACTGTACCCCAAATTCTTGAAAGCCAAACTCATGTCACATCTGTTGTTACACCACAGGGGGGTTAAAACTGCAGGGGTGGTGGCTCTTACTGAGGCCATAAAGCCTGCCAAGTTTCAAGGAGATTGGTGCCGGGGTTTGTGGGGAACTGCACCTCAAGCTGCAGACAAGCAAAACTCACGACATGGGTGACACTGCGTGTGTTAAGGTGTAGCGGGGTGACAGCTGCAGGGATGGTGGCCCCTGCTATGGGCACAATGCCTGCCAGCTGTGGAAGAGATTGGTGCAGGGGGGTTCTGGGGCCCTGCACCCCTAGCTGCTGACAGACAAAACTCATGCCATGGGTGCTTGTGGGACTGACTGTGTCTGTCTTGGGGCAGTTGATTGTCTGTATTGATTCTTTCCTCGCCTTAGCCTGGTTTTGTAGGTGCTAATTGATGACAATTAACTGGCTACATTAGCTAGGTCCTGTTTATTGAGCTAGTCCCTGAGTGAATCATAGTTTCATAGTAGCTAGGGTCAGGAGGGACCTGAACAGATCATCTAGCCTGACCCCTGCCACAGGCAGGAATGAATGCTGGGTTCACAAGACCCCAGACAGGTGATCATCCAACCTCCTCTTGAATTTGCCCAAGGTAGGGGGTGAAGACCACTTCCCTGGGAAGTTGGGTCCAGATTTTGGCCACCCTACCTGTAAAATATTGCCTTCTGATCTCTAACCTAAACCTATTCTCCATCTGCTTATTACCATTGTTCCTTGTCACCCCAGGTGGTGGTGGGGAGAAAAGGGCTCTACCTGTTTGCTGTTGATCTCCCATGATGAGTTTGTAGGCAGCCACCAGGTCCCCTCTCAGCTTCCTCTTGCTGAGGCTAAACAGGTTCAGGTCCCTCAGTCTCTCCTCATAGGGCCTGTCCTGCTGCCCTCTCACCAAACAGGTGGCCCTTCTCTGAACCCTCTCCAGGCTGGCCACATCACCTTTGAAGTGTGGCGCCCGGTACTGGATGCAGTACTCGAACTGCAGCCTGACGAGCGTCACATAGAGAGGAAAGATCACCTCTCTGGACTGGCTTGAGATGCACCTTTGGATGCATGACAAGGTATAGCTGGTCTTGCTGGCTGCAGTCTGGCATTGGCGGCTCATGTTCACCTTGAAGTCAATAATGACTCCAAGATCCCTTTCCGCCTCTGTGCTTTCAAGAAGGGAACTCCCCAGCCTGTATGTATGCTATGGATTCCTTCTCCCAAGCTGCAGCACCCTACATTTGTCTACGTTGAACCCCATTGATTGGTAACTGGTAACACAGCAGCTTAGCAGCCAGGCCTGCAGTAGTGTCTCCCCTGTCCCAAGACAAACACAGTCAGTCCCACAAGCACCCTTGTCACGAGTTTTGCCTGTCAGCAGCTAGGGGTGTAGGGCCCCAGAACCCCCCTGCACTGATCTCCTTGACAACTGGCAGACTTTGGGGCCACCATCCCTGCAGCTGTCACCCCGCTGCGCCTTAACACAAGCAGTGTCACCCATGGCACGTGTTTTGTTTGTCCACAGCTTGAGGGGCAGTTCCCCCCAAACCCCTGCATTGATCTTGAAACTTGGCAGGCTTTGTGGCCTCAGCAAGAGCTACCAGCCCTGCAGTTTTGACCCCCTGTGTTGTAACACATAGACATGACATGAGTTTTGCTTTCAAGGATTTGGGGCGCAGTTCCCCCCAAACCCCTGCACTGATCTCCTTGAAACTTGGCAGGCTTCATGATCTCTGTAGAGTTTACCACCCCTGAAAATTTCATTCAAATTGGACAAAAAAACAACAAAGTTATAGATATTTTATTGTTTCCCCATTATACCCTATGGCCAGATCTCTGAGGCAGCTCCGAAGCGCTTCAGGAAGCCTAACGAGGCAGCGCTTTGACCCAGACATGCTGCTTCGGACCCCGAAGCATCCAAAGCTTCTCCGGATCCGAAGCTCTGTCCGAAGGCTCGCACAGCCCTAGTAGCCTTCTAGGTATTGAGTTGCTGTTCCTCTAATGTCCTGAAGATGGAGCCCGTATCCCTCATATTCGGTTCTGACACGTCCTCCACTATGCACAGAGGAGCTATCTGCTTCCATACACCCAGCTCTGAGGGCAGCATCTGCTGTTGGGAGCCTCCCTCCTGTTTGGAATCATCTCTGATACACAGAATAGACCCAGCAAGACACTATAAGATCTGCATTCAGTCCTGCATGAAGCCAAGCTCCTCCTTTTCAAAAGCCTTCCCTGTACCTCTGGGCTGCCCTATGCACATGGTGAATGGCAAGGCAGTGTCCTGCATTGCCCCTCTTTGTGTCATTTGTCTGCTGTATTGCAGTATCAAAAGGCATCAAGCTTCAAGTCAGCACCTGCCCTTCTACAGCAGAAGCATACATCCTTTGCCACTTCCTTTCTCGCCATCTTGTTCCCATCCTGAGTGAGCTGAGAATACCTTCCCTGAGGTACAAGGCAAGGATTTTTGTGGGTGATACCTTTTATTGGACTCACTGCATTTGGTCTAATAAAATAAGCAGTGGGTCTAATAAATATTTCACCCACACACATCCTTGCCTTTTGCATAATTCCTAGACCGTAACAGCCTCAAAATTGCTCCAACATTTCCTAAGGTAATAGCTTTCTCTCCCCCTCCCCTGGCCCTCTGCTCATCCTCTGTTGGACTCTGTCTGCCTATTGTCATGATTTACCATGATGGAATTGGTACAGGATAGAGAATGGCAACAAAGCCCCAGAATTCATCTCGCAGGTGGGCATTGAGGGAGAACTTCTGTCCAGCTTTGGCTTGTTTTTGGTTGGGTTTTTTTGAGTTGTGGGTTAGAAAACAAAACTTTGACAGAGAAACTGGAGTCAGACACCAGTTAGGCCTGGGTTTTTCTTTGAGTGACCTAGACTGGGAGTTTTATGTTAGGTCCCCTCAACAGTACTACAGTTCACCTGGATTTCACAAGAATACTCCTGCTACTTCTCCTAATACAACCTATGGATAAGATGTTCCCAGACCAACAGAAGGCTTCATGCAAAGAGCCCAGAGGCTACTGTCTTAAATGCTCCTAGCATTTCAGACACCTAGACTGCCCAGCAGAATCTGATCTAGGACTAGTTTGGAGCGGTGAAAATACCCGCCCCCACCTCCCCCATGGAATTATGCCAGGTTGGTTTGAGTCCCGTAGTGCTGCACAGTAGGTCATGTCATGCTGAAAGTCAGGTGAGGTTGGGCTCCTTTAAAAGTATATCCTTGAGGCCAGGTTATGGGAGAAGGGCTAGCTAGCTGCACAGTCAGCACATGCTGGTGGTTACAGGGCAGGGTGGTTGTCTGGGCACCTGACTCTATTTCTAGTTCTCCCAGAAACTCGAACTTGAACAGGGCACCTCGGTTGGGAGTGTGGTAGGGTGAGCAATGTGAAACAACCAAACTGCAGTCAGAGGCAGCAGCAGGTGCTCGGCATTGAAAATTCAGGCCTGAGATGCTTGGAATTGGGCTCCCAAATTCAGGGGCTGCCAGTGTAATTGTGCCAGGGCCTGGAAACTTGCTGCTTCATCTCCCCCCGGCTGTGACATGCAGCGAACAATAGCTCTCTACCTCACGCAGGTCCTAAGGGTAAAACATTGAACATCTCCTAGTGCCAAGCTAGAAGGAGCTGGAAAAGAGTATTATGGGCTTCGTGGAGCACAGAGGAGAACAGGTTCCATTGCACGTGTCCTGCTTCCCTCAGGGAAAAGCTGCTCCCTTAGCCAGCCTGGGGGGACGGGAGATGGACAGTTGAGCAGGAAGGAGGGAGCAGGTGTTGACTTGCTAAGATGGCAGCCTGTGGAGGAGCAGCTTGCTGTGACCTAAGAGGACAAGGGTCCCTGTGCCCTCCTACCCCTGCTCAGCAGGGGCAGGTGCCTGAGTGTACTGCAGCATCAGTAATGCAGGAATCCTTGGGGACAGCTGGGTTCAGAGGGCAGATGCAAGAAGCTATGTAGGGGGGCAGCCCAAAGCATTCAGCCACCTCCAGTTATCTGTTCTGCCCTGGGAATAGTAATGCCTAATGTCCACCCTGGCTCTTGGGGGCCTTCTAGGGTGAGCTGTCACATGCTCTGCTGCTGCCAGCCATGGAGAGGGTTAGAGCTGCCTGTAGCAGGGGTAGTGGGCCTGAGGCTGAGGGTCAGGAGAGTGGTGGGGCTGGGCAGGTCCTGAACAGAAGGCTGCACTGGGACATGGACAGGTAAAACCTGCCTCTGACTGTGCTCTGGATTAGCACAAGGCAGGGGTCAGGTTTTGGGCTTAGGGGGGCATTGTGCCCATGTGCAAACAGCCACAGTGTGGTGCAGCTCAGGGAAGCAGCCACATTGGGATACATGTAGCTGCAAGCGGTTGCAGCTTGAACGTTGCAGTCACAGACTTAGGAGATGAGGAAAACAGCAGGCCTGCCATAGGTAGAGTCCCTAGAGCTGACTTGCAGAGCCAGAGTGAGTGGAAGGGGTTGGAGTAGTGCCACAGTCCTGGAGGAGTCGTCTTCTGTACCCTGAAATCTCTGTCCCCTTAGGACTCATCTGG